ATGCTCGAGGTCGGATACAATAGCGGGAGACAGTTGGTCGTACTGGGCTCGAAAGTATCTTGCAAGTGTGGCTAGTAGTGCTTCCAGCGCTCTGTGCACAGTAAAAGAATCAGCAATATTTGAATCATCCTTCCATTTGAAAAAAAAGAGGATGCATTAAGTACCTGAATTCATACGGTGAACCATCGTCATCCCGAGTATTCACCACAAAATAGTGCTTGAGCATGGATAGCATGCTGTCTGCTCCATCAGGAACGTACACAAGGCACGTATCTCTCAGCACAATAGCGCGCAGAGGGTCTAGTTCCATTACAACATGCAGGTTAGCTGGCATGGACAAGTATACTATGTTGATGGGCATCCGTACCAGCACTGAAAAATATCGCCTGCTTTCGAATTTCAATGGACGGCTCGTTCGTTGATGAGAACGCATTCACCATTCTGCGAATGTCTCGAGCATGCACAGGCTGTAAGCGAGTTAGTAAAACGCAAATGGATCACGTTGAAAGCTCGGACAATTGCTCGATACCTGAACATCGCATTTTGGTGCTGACCTCACTCCTTTCACCGTCTGAGGTTCCGCAGCTTGTTGTGCGATGCGCAGGGCGTCCAGTCGATTCATTTCTTTGAATGTCGAGTTGCCACGCCTGTCGAACACCAGCATGAGTATCTTGCCCGTCTTCTTTGAGGAGTCAAACCGGCAAACGAATGGGCCAGATGTGCTGGAGACACCTCGCTCCACAAGATCGACATCAACATCAATGTGGTAGTTTGATGCTGGGCTTTTCTCGTAGTTTGCCGAATTCATGACTGCCTCGAACGAAATGGTTGAAGAGCGACCAGTATCTACTTGTTGAAGGTTGTCTGCCATATCAGAAGAAAAACAAGCAATGTGGAAGCCGCAGCACCACCGGTTGTTGCAGCTTCACAATAAGAAGTGAGTGTTGGTGCTGTATAATGATAGTGATTACTGCATTGTATTTCTGTTGACAAAAATGATTTTTCGAAGTCTCATAATCAATCAGGATGCCCTGCTTTGCTTCGAAAGTACTAGAGCATGACCCCTTGCTGCGAAAGAAGGTGTCCCTCTCGTGGTGGAGTGGAAGCAGTGAAGTTGACAGTGATCAAAAGCCAGCCACCCGGCCTGAGATCGACATACAGTACCGACACAAATGCTACTCGTTACAAGCCTGAAGTTAAACTCAGTGTCACGAGACTATCCGTGCTTGCAATTTGATACTGTAGGAGCTCAGCTTAAGATAATATCTTGAAGATACTAAAGTTCTGGATCAGGTAAAGCAGTTGGAGGTCGCCAGACGCGGACGCAACACACTACTCAGATTCGTTCATCGTGTTCTTGAGCTCGCTTATTAATAGGCGTTCGACCAATTTCCTCCTGCATTGGATTTGATTTGCAGCAGGTGTTGGTATAATAAGCAGCGCCTCTGGTCTGGTTCCTCTGCTTACAAAGAGCACAATAGGAACAATGCGATAATTGACTTCTATTTCTTTGAAATCTCTATACATGAAATCATTACCAAGCATTGATTCTAGGTGCTTGATGAACTGTTCAAGGCTTGATGAAAGATGGCTTCTATTTGGTTTAATTTTTAGTGAGCTGTTCGGCTTGAATAAATACAGCGCGGATACCGACAAATTTATACGAGATATAATTGGTTAGAAATAGCCAATCACATTCTTGATGCACTTCAATTTTTCGCTGTCACTATAGAGGAAGCTCAATCATTCTTTTTGGAAGGTGGGTGAAACGGAAACAGATCACTTAAACAAAAAAAATTCTAAAACCCAACCCTTGGTCTTAGTACAAAAACTAGCTTACGACCAATAAATTCACCCTCAACTACACTTTTTCAAAAAACCAAGTTAGGTTAGGGGGATGGGTTAAATAAATTTAAGCCCAGTCATAATTCGAGAATTTTATTCCTACCTTCCATCGCGCTTCTCGCACACCCCGAGTCCATGGAGCGGTACCAGAAGCTAGAGAAGATCGGTGAAGGCACGTATGGCGTGGTGTACAAGGCCAAGGATCGCGTGACGGGCGAGGTGATCGCGCTCAAGAAGATCCGCCTGGAGGCTGAGGACGAAGGCATCCCCAGCACAGCCATCCGCGAGATCTCGCTACTAAAGGAGCTCCAGCACTGCAACATTGTGCGCTTGTACAACATCGTGCACACGGAGCGTAAACTCACGCTCGTGTTCGAGTACTTGGACCAGGACCTTAAGAAGTACCTGGATGTCTGCGAGAAGGGACTGGAGAAGCCCATTCTCAAGTCCTTCCTGTACCAGCTACTGCGCGGCATCGCCTACTGCCACCAGCACCGCGTGCTGCATCGGTGCGTACTTTGGTGGCGTTGGTCTATAGAAATGGAAGCTCACTACTGGTCTCCTACTGTGTCAATAGTGACTTGAAGCCGCAGAACTTGCTGATTAACCGTGAGGGAGAGCTCAAGCTTGGCGACTTTGGTCTGGCTCGTGCGTTTGGTATCCCGGTTAGAAGCTACACGCATGAGGTCGTGACACTTTGGTACCGCGCACCCGACGTCCTTATGGGATCACGGTACGTTTTCTATAGCTTTTTACAGATCGATAGCATTACTTATCTTGTGTGATGCACTTGTTAGGAAATATTCAACGCCTGTGGATATTTGGAGTGTCGGCTGCATTTTTGCTGAGATGGCCAATGGTGGCCCGCTATTCGCTGGCACATCGGAAGCAGACCAGCTTGACCGCATCTTTCGTCTCCTGGGCACACCAACTGCAGAAATATACCCAGCAATCGTCGATCTTCCGGACTATAGAGTGAGAATTTGTTTCAGTCATTACTGCCTCATGATGAGTTGGTCGAGCTAATTGTGATGTATGATGAACAGCGGGACTTCCCTGTTTACCCGGCGCCGGAAAACTTGGCACACCTCGTACCAACGTTGGACGCGGATGGTGTGGATTTGCTGGAGCAGATGCTACAGTACGACCCTGCAAAGCGAATTACGGCGGCTGATGCTATGGTCCACCCGTATTTTAGCGACTTATCCCCGGCGCTCACCGAGAACCAATGAAACATGGATCGGTAGCGTACAGACACATAAGGGAGACTGGTGAAATTTGGCAACATCCTTCTGAATAATATGTTGGTGTGGATGCTTCCTGTAGTAGTTTTACCTGTATTACTTATTCCAGAGGAGAAATTGTCATGTAATTGTTCAGTCACCAGCCACTGTCAGCTAGCAGATTACCTGTAAACAAACAATGAGGAAGCTCGGCATGGCTCGAACTCACAAAGCTCTGTTTTATTTGAGCATTACTCCTTTCTGCTTGAAGAAAACTATACCAGCGTACGTCGTCGTGATGAAGAGGGCAACAGTGAAGATGACAACCCCCCAAAACCAACCGGACGCGTCTGCCAAGCCTGAAGAGAGATTCATGCCAAACACACCAGAGACCAACGTGCCGACGGAAATGTTGATCGACACAAGCGAGAAGATGAGCTGAACTTTCAGCAGATAATTTCGCTTCGAGTCAAGTTTCAGAGTCACGAGACTCTCCGTGTTGGCAATGCGATGCTGTAGCAGATCGGCCGTCGTGCGAGTGGAGAAAATATCCTGCAGGTAATTTTCGATCAGCACTTCAGCTTCCTCCGAGTCGAAGCTATAGAGATCCGACAAGAGGTCAGGATTCTCGTAGATTTTAGTGAGATAGAGCAGTCGGAGGTCCTCTTCGTTGTCCAGCAACTCCATCAGTACACGACGTACTCCATCGACCTGAGACTCAAACTCGTTCATCGTATTCTTGAATTCACGCAGACGTTCGAGCTCACGCGAGTTCAGGTTCCCTTGAACGAGATGCTCGAGGTCGGATACAATAGCGGGAGACAGTTGGTCGTACTGGGCTCGAAAGTATCTTGCAAGTGTGGCTAGTAGTGCTTCCAGCGCTCTGTACATCATACAAGCATCCGTCAGTCAAGTGTACTTGAGGAGTTTGTGATAGATGTATCATACCTGAACTCGAATGGAGCCTCTGCATTATCCCTTGCATTAGTAAGGAAGTCCTGCTTGAGCATTGAGATCAAACTGTCCGCTCCATCAGGAATGTAAACCATACAGGCATCTCGCAGAACGATCGCGCGCAAAGGATCTACATCAAATGCACCACTGCAGCTTAGTACAAATACGACAAAAACACATTTCATATCGTTCGTACCAGCGCTGAAGAAGATCGCTTGTTTGCGAAGGATAATTGACGGCTCGTTTGATGCTGAGAACGCATTTTCCATCCTGCGAATGTCTCGTGCATGCACGCGCTACACCATCAAGCAATATCAGCTCAATGGGCAAATGACAGCTCCCTGTATTTCCATACCTGAACGTCACATACGCCATCTAGCCCTGACTGAGCCTGCGCACTCGCTCGTTGTGTTCCTGGCGTATGGAATGGCGACAGTACTCACTTCCAAGCTTTGCCGCTTCTTGTGTCATGCGCAGGACATCCAGTCGACTCATTTCTTGCAATCTCGAGCTACCGTCGCGACCGAACAGCAGCATTAACAGCCTTCCCTTCCTAGTCACGGGGTCGAATCGACAGAAGAATCGGCTCGGAGAGTTGGAAGCGCTGAGTTCACTCGTCTCCATTGGTGTGACGTCAAAGTCGATGCAAAACTTGGACTTGGGGCTCCTGTCCGTCGTCTCCATGGCTGCTTCCATCGATATCACTGATTGCAGCGCAGCACCGGAGCCTGACGTCTTGCGAAGCATTACGAACTCGTGCTGAAGCGAAGAAAAATGCCTAGACAACCCGCACGTAACGACCAAACATGGCAAGACCAGAAAAAACCTGCAACGTCATGGAGAAACACTCAACGGCCCGTCTCACGAAGAACTGGGTGCAATTCGGGTGGTGCTGAGCTTGGGATCTGCAGTATTCATGCTCATGAGTTGAAGACAACGGTATCTATTCATCGGCAAACTAAAGAGAACGCTACGGGTTACACAACCTCCAATGCGTAGTGCCGATCTACGTCCGGATCTGGAAGCGTCCAGCTTTAGTCATCGTCCGCACGCCCTTGTAAGGTTTGTACTTCTCGTTAGTGATCAGCAACGTTTCAACGTTCAGACCAGAGACAGTAGACATAGGCACCTTGAAGCCGAGCACCACCACAGGCTTCTCGTCCGGTACTGAAGCGCTCTGATGAAGAATGATGTTGCCTCGCAGCGACGGATTTAGCACCTTCTTGCCCAGTTTGCCCACGTTCCACTTGACAGTCTTGGACGCCTCATCGAACAGACATGTGCCATGCTCTGTGTTGACATCCACTGTGCGTACACTCTTCGGGAATGTCACCTCGACAGTGACATCTTCCACCTGCAGGTTCTTCTTAGCGTTCGAGTTGAGCGTAGGCATCCCACGAGTGCCGATCACCAGGTCCAGAGTACCGCCACCTTTCTCCTTGTATGAGATCTGCGGCTGACAGTACACAGGCGGCACGAGTTCTTGAACCTGCACACGGTACTGCATGAGCTCGAACTGTCCGTCAGGAGGCACGAACGAGATGACCCGTTCGCGTTCGTATCTTGAGTACCGCACACATGGGTGGAATGAGCAGTCGTCGATCACCGAAGGATCTGTGAACACCATAGTGAGATCCGGGACGCCAGAGAGGCGACTATTACTGTGAATGGCGCCGTTCACCTCGCACGAGATCATGCGACCGGATACGTCGATAATAGCGTCGATTTCCTCCACAATGTCGAAGTAGATTTCGTTCTGCGTGTAGCGCACACCAGCTTTGCGCCACGGGATGTTGGAGATGGCGCCGTCGGGAAGCGTGTTGCTTACACGCGACTTGCCGGATACCATGGCAGCGATGCGGTTTGCAGTCGAGGGAGGAGCCACCATGGCTTTAAGAGCGTTGGGCTCTGTGGTGAGTGGGTAACCATTGTCCAGCATCTCCTCCAGTAGCTGATAGACTGTTGAGAAGTTGTCCTTCATGGAATTCTCGTCGAAGTTACCGAAATAATCACGGAAGACCGCGAGTACTCGGTGCAGGAACTCGATCACGAATAGGGGAGAGATCTACAGACAGGATTTTTAGTCAGGAAAGATAGGAATGGAGGTTTTAGAGCACTGACCTCGTTGGTGACGACGGCAAGTACGAATAGATCGTCGCGGAAGACGCTAACCAGGTAATACTTGCTGGTCGTAATGATAGGCGGCACGTCCTCGCGCTCGCGGTACTTGTTGACCTCCTCCATGAAGAAGTCACATACATTACGACTCGTAATGCCGCGCCAGTGCTTCTCGATGATCACCTCACTGCAGTAAGCATATGCACAGAGTCAGCGACAATGACGGAAGATGGAGAGGGAGATGAGGATACGCACCCGGTGGTGGTCATGATGAACATGGACTGGATCATCGCGCTGCACTGTTGTCTTACTCTTGGCGTCGAGTCCCCCACCAAAGTGATGTGGATCTTGGAAATCAAACATGGGCTGAACCACATCACTGATACATAAATTGAGCAAATGACTTGTGATTTGCATCGACTAAAATCGCAGTTGAATTCAAAAAGAACTGAGATTGTGCAAAAAGTATCGCTAACAGTATCGCTCTTCCTGCCTAGCGTTCAATCATTCGGCGCTACAAGTACGTAGACAATTTAGATGGTGATAGACTTGGCTTACTCATCATCCTCGTATTCCTTGTCGTCACGGCCCTTGACCTGTTTGAGCTTCTCTTCGTCTACCTTGTATACGTTGCCGCCATTGTAGCCTGCAAACACCTTGGCGGTGATTTCCACCTGAGCGTCCTTCGGCACCAGCTCCTCCGGAATCGGGATACGCTCCACGATTTCAATACCCTGCAGCATAACAACCTACTTAGTGCAAAATGTAAATGATACGTCCAGCTCACCGAACTTACCGATTTCACGATGGCGTCGTACTTCATGTCGCTCATCGATACAAACTTGTCAATCTTGGTGATGCCAAGCCAGTGCAGAGCATCGGGCATCAACGCCTGGAAGCGCACATCCTGGATGCCAGCCACAGTCTGAGTGCAGTTGAAGTACTCTTCTGCGCTGTCACCCCCTTCCTGGCGCTTACGCAGGTTGTACACCAAGTACTTGGTCACTTCGCCCAGCGCGCGACCTTCTTTGCGGAAGTACACGATGATACCGGCTCTGATAGTACACAATACAGCACGAATCAGTACTGTGTCAACTTCATTCCCATTGCACAATAACTTACCCTCCCTCTTGCGCTGTTTGCACGCAAACTTCAATGCCGTGGGCAAGATACGGGCGACACGTGCAAATATCCGACCCGAACACGTCGGAGCCATTGCATTCATCATGGACACGCACCGCCAGCTTCTTCGTGGGGTCCGAAATGGCCTCAACAGAGCCAAAAATGTAGATCGTCAAGCTGTATGAGCACATATCCGTTAGTCCCCATACAGTTCTTCATCAAATAGTGCAAGCTTACCCTCCAATTGGCGGCAAGAAGACCTTAAGATCGTTTCTCGTCACGAGCTCCGGGTACATGCCGTTGGTCTCCTGGAAAATCTGCTGACGCAGATTGGCCTCCGTCGTGTTGAAGCGCTTGGCCACTCCAGGGAGATACCACACCGGGTCAATAGCTGCCTTGGTGATGACGAGCTGAGACGACTTCTTGAGGATCTTGCCATCAGGCGTCAGTCGACCGAGACGCACAGCCTCGTGGATCTCTGGGAAGTCCATGTGTGCCTTGGTGACGGCGATGGTGGGGCGGATATCGTACCCCTTCTGGTAGTGCTCTGGGAAGGCCTCCACTACGCAAGCCCCAAAGGGGTCAATGGTGACGATCTTCTCAGGGTCCGCCCATGACGGATGGGGGCCGATCTTGGCAGCAGGCGTCGTGTGGGTCAGGTCGGGCTTTGCGTTCTTAGCAATGGCACCGGAGGCCACTGCCAGACCGCGGTAGATACAGTATGATCCGCCGTGAGCGCCGATGGCGTTACGATACTTGTGATGGCGATTGGTACCGATGATCGGCCCGCGCACGTCAGGCTCCTTCTGCCCCCACTACTCAATCACGAGGGTTAGTAAAGTATTAATCGCCATTGTGTTGAAGGTGGACATGATCGTACCCGGATGCGAATGGGTTCGACGCCGAACTGCTCGGCATGCGACGTGAGCGAGACGTAGAACTGGTTGGGGTCGAACTCGTCCTTCTTGTCGATCTTCTTCACGTCGTCGGCTGCCAGTTGAAGTCACGCAAACGTCAGTAAAGAAGCCCCGACTGGTTTAACAGATTGCCACGCACCATCGATGGATTTCTTTCGTTTGCCCAGCGTCGCCACTTTCTTCATGGGGGCGATTTTGATGCTCGTGGTGCTCATTGTGGTGATTTTTTTTCTTAGTGGGAGGCTGCTGGAGAGAGGATCCAAGGATACGAGAAGAACCACTTGAGCACGTGAACGCAAATTACGTTGTGAGAGCAGAAGCAACTCGAGCGGAAAATGCCTGTCCGTTTGCCTCACGGAGGAGAAACCGCCGCCCTCTGGCGACTCAGATGGCTCTTTTTTTTAAAAGAGTCTTTGAAGTGCACCAGATTAGAGCGCAGTGATTGGTCGAAAAGAATGTATCACGGAATCGCATTCAGTGCTGCCCAGCACAGTGTACACTATTATGTTGGCTAGTGTGGAATCCATGAACCGAGGGCAGTCTGCCCTGGACAGGTGATTAAGATGCCGATGTGTTAGGCGAACACTGTTAGCTGAGCCCCAGAGCTAACTTAGCTCTGGGGCTTCGCACATTTTTGGAGGCACCGACGATTGCTGACGGTACGTGAGACGGCTTCAACATCGTTGCCCGAATTGATAAGCTTATCAACTTTCTTGACGCTTCGTGACTACCGCTGATAGGCTCTTATGAGATGGCCAAACGGTTAAACAGCCATGCTTTCTTCGGAGTCAGCACTAGCACTAGGTTGGCTTTGCCAAACCCACAGTTGATTCTCGTTAGACTAAGGAGCGTTTGGTTAAGGAGGCATGCTGGCGCGCAAAAACATCACCAAAAACAAATAGAGACCAGCGCAACGTTTCGCAAAACTGAAGACGCACCCACCCCAGCTTTTTATTGCAGTGCTTTATCACTGCATGCATCGCCAAGATTCCATCCCAGAAGAAGAGCGAAGGCACAAGTTGGTCCAATACCGGTATCAACCGGTCCGATTTTGAAATTTCAAAACGGTGACTTCTGATTGGCTACTATCCCCACACTTCGTTTGCTTAGTGAGCTCAAGTCACTTGTGTCCCTCCAGTGCTTTTTCCCCCAAACCAAACCGAAGACGGCCGCAAGCACGAAGAGGCTCCGATCCACCTGCATTTTAAGGCGACCGGCTGCAGCTCAACGCTATACTCACGCCCATTCTGTCCATAACGCGCTGTTTCCTCCGCCTCGCTTTCCCGCATTCACCACACAGCTGCCAGCCATGTCATTTACCCGAAGGAGCATCCGAATTAACAATGAGAACGAAATGCCCGCGGATCTGGCCTCTTCTCGCCCTGGAAAGGTGCATACAGCTCTGCAAAGTATGGCTACTGCACTCCAGACCATTTAGACTTAGTTTTTGTGTTGCTTTGCCCTCTACAGCGCCAGATTCTGCGAGACGCGCAGGACGCTGGCAACCCCGAAAAGCGTCCGCGATTCATGAAGTCTCAGAGTAGTACGACCACCGGAGGACCCCGCAGAACCGCTCTAGGAGACGTGACCAACCGTCGCTCAGCATTGGGTGATGTGACCAACAGGATCAACGTACGTCGAGTGATACAGAGAGATTGTGGTGCAAATAGTGACGTGAATGTATTGTGATGCAGATCAAGAAGGCCAGTGTGAGCTCCATGAGCTCTTCGGTCACAAACGCTGGAGCTCTGGCCAAGAAGAAGGTCATTGCCAGCAAGCGCAGCCTCAGCAACATCAACATTGGCAGTCGCACACTCAACACTGCCAACGCCAGCAAGAGGAACCTCAGCAACGTGAACCTCATCAGTCGCCATGTCAGCTCAATGACCAGCAGCACGTCGTCTCTTAGCAGCCGCAGTTCGTCGTCGATCATCAGCCGTATGAGCCGTCCACTTCCTTCTACAACTAACACGCTTGGATCTCTGGGACTCCAGGACAAGATCTCGCCATCGGTTAACATCATCCCCCCAACTCCGGAAGAAAACGAGCATGACATTGATTCGGAAGACAGAAATGACCCCACTGCGTGCTGGCAGTACGCTGAAGATATCACAAAGTACCACCTGGAGACGGAGGTAAGAAGCGATGTGGATTTAGCGAGTATTGAGTTATTTTGCTGATCTGGACGGTGTTATTTGAATTCTACAGAAGAAGCGCAAGCCCAGCAGCTCGTACATGTCTCGCCAGTCGGACATTAACGCGAAGATGCGTGCAATCCTGGTGGATTGGCTGGTGGACGTGCACTACAAGTACGGACTGTTGCCACAGACTCTGCATATCGCTGTCATGCTTATCGACCAATACTTGGAGAAGAGTTTATCGGTTGGACGCCAGCGTCTTCAGCTTATCGGTGTGTCAGCAATGTTCATCGCTGCAAAGTACGAAGAGATCTATCCCCCGGAAGCCGAAGATTTTGTCAAAATTACAGACAATGCGTACACACGCGAAGAAGTTTTCCAGATGGAAGCCAAGATGCTTGCGACGATTGGCTACCGAGTGACATTCCCGACTGCTTATCAGTTCATGAAGCGATTCATCAAGGCATCCCGCACATGTGACGATAGAGTGGAGCACTTCGCACACTACGTCGTTGACCGCAGTCTACAGGAGTACAAGCTCATGAAGTTCCTACCGTCTACCATTGCTGCGTCGGCAGTTTACATTGCCCGGACCCAGATGAGGGATACTCCAGCTTGGGTACGTCAGTTTTACTCTTCTTTTTCGTGTTTTCCGGGACTAATCCTGTATTTTATTGTGTACTTGCTAGTCGTCAACGTTGGAGTACCACTCGTCATATAGTGAGCGTAGCCTTACTCCCTGCATTGATGAGTTGAAGGAGATGATCTGGAACGCCCACAACGGCGTGGGTAAGTTGCACAAGCTCACTGCTGCGCGACGGAAGTTCAGTAAGGAACGCTTCATGGCAGTGGCAGCCGAGTCGCTCGCCTTTAGCAAGAGCGCGTAGACATGCTGCAAGCATGTACTGTATGTATTCTTGCCCATGAAGCCGCTATGCCGATGACAAATTATGAACCTGATTGTACAACATCGTCAAGACTTCGATAAAACTCTCTTGAGGCACGAAGCACATCGTCCAGCATGCACAGAGGCAATAACATGTCGTATCCATATACTTTATTCTGCTCATACACACTCATTGAGCGTCATGTTAGCAACAAAATGAACACAAAACGACAATACATGTGCGGAAAGATTCTATGACAAGGCAGATCTACCTATCAGTTTAGTCCACACCGAGGTCGTCTTCGTCTTCCTCTTCGTCACTGCTAACATCCAGAGCCGAAATCTCGTGAGCAAGTCCGTCAGCAACATCGTCCGACACTTCTTCGTCTTCTCCACTCGTAGGAAGAGTCGAGGATGCCGTAACAGGTTTTCTCTCGACTGCCTTTGGCTTGGATTCAACCTTCGTAGCAGGTTCAGGCTCCTTCTTAGCCTCAATTGCCTTCACCGGAGCAGCAGGAGTCGGAGGCAGCACTACCTCGCCGTTCTCACCCGTCTTAGTCTCCTGATCAGCAGCAAACGACTTTGCACGGACCTCATCCCAATCAGGCTCTTCGCCCTCTTCGTCACGGATCAGGAAGTCCACAAGTTTGTAGATCTGGTCACCAATCTCCTCGTCGGACTCCACCAAGTGAGCATTACGGATAATCGGGTACACCTTCTTGCGACGCAGCTCCTTACGACCGTTGCGGGTCGTACACAACAGTAGCAGGCAGTCCACTGCTGCAAGACGAACCAGTCTGTCGTGCTCGCGCTTCTTCTTGTCGCCTTGGCTGTACACAACCGGGTTCATCCCCATCTTGTCGTCCTCGTCGAGCTCCTCTGGACCAGTAAGCAAGACCATCATGTGCGTAGGGATATCCAATTGGTCGTACAGGTAGAAGTGGTTGTCCGTATCGAAGCACAAGTTCTTCAATGCAGCGGTAACACCACGTCGCCGCACGACATTGGGAGACTTGAGCTGTGACAGAAGTGCACCGGCTAGCGACGTACTCTGACGCATCTTGAGCAGGAAATCACGACCCTGTTCGAGCTGACTGATGTTGGCCAGAATGTTGGCGACATACTGGTACTCGTCGTCCCACTTGGGCTCGCCGGTGGAGCTGTCTACTCCATCGGGTTCTGGTTGTCCTTCCAGGAATGAATTCGTAAGTGTGCGGATTTTCTTCTCACGCAATGCAAGCGTGGCATCTGTGGCCTTGTCGTCGTAGCCAAGCAGTGCCTTGGCACCTTCGGGCGTTGTGGTCACGTTAGCCAAAAGCATCATGGAGTAGTCAGTGAGGCGCCACTCGTCGTCCTCCACTTGAGTCATGACACGGTTCAAAAGATCGTACTTGAGTGCACGCTCACATGCCGCCGGGTTGGCTGCTGTGAGATTAATGAGCGCCTTGATAGCGTCCTCTGCGATAGGACGCATGTCGCTCACGACGCGGCAAAGAGCCTGCACTACGTCAAACTTCTTGAGCTGCAGCAACTGGAACATGCCCTGATCCGACGCTGTCATATTGATGAGCAGACTGGACGCCGACTTACGCAGCTCTGGCCGCGGGTGCGACAGGAAGGACACTAGCTCCTCCATGGACTTGACCTGCTCTGCTGTCGCCTGTTCCGCCATGGCCAATTAATTTATCAATCTGTCTGATACTCGAGAGGTACGTCGATTGAATTATGACCACCAAGTCGCATGTCAATTCATCTGTCCGAAAATCTGTCTCAATGTCGTTCCAATATGGCTAAGTAGGTGACAATTAGGAGCGGACATTTTCTTAAGTTTCAGGTGCGCCACATCAAATCTGTGACGTGAAATGAGACAACGTCAAACAAAAGCATACTAATGAACCTAAGTACGAATCGCGATTTAAGCACATCGCTGTTAAGATGGGCGTCTCCTCTTTCTAATAAGCCCCCGTAAGCCTTCTAGAACCTACAACAGACCAAGTTACAGCAACCCCAAAAAAATATCTCCTGTCCCAGACAGAAAATGCAAAAAACAATTATTGGTTACTTAGATGTAAAATTTGACTGCGGAGCCAATGGCGTTGTCCGTTTTGTCTAATTCGACGGAGAATATCTTCAAAATTCAACTTTCATCCACAAATTCACATTAGTGACTACCTGCCGATTAGTATCAATTTATTTTCCCCTGGACATAAGTATCACTAGTGTTACCAGAGCATTCTGCTTCACTTACGCGAGCGTTTCGGCATCGGACACACTGCTTCTTCAGCATCTCTGTTACGACGGTCCTGGTTGGCTTTTGCAGCAACCGCCATGGCAGCACGGTGTTCTCGACGAGCTTGCTTCGCAGATTTGGCCTCTTCGCCTTGCTCCTTGCTGGGAGCTGCATAAAGTGGGTCTGACTGGTACTCGTCCGGCACATACGGGCGGATGTTCTTGTAAAATTCGGCAATTTTCTCAGTGTTTTTCGGACGCACAGGCAGATCTTCGAGGAAGTGGTCCATCATGCGCACCACCTTTTCGTTTTCGGTCAAGACTCCGTCAACAATTCGGCGGAGGTCCTTCTCCACCGGTGCATCGTCCGGACCCTTCTTGCACAACACTACACCCGGCTTCTCCATGATCATGGAAAAGATCTGGTACTGTTGTACCCCCGCCAGTGTTTTGTATAGCTCTTGTAGTAGAGGTTTGTAGCTCTTGAAGAAGTCGTTGCCGCGTGAAATGTGGACGGTTCTGTTAGATGCTGCGGCATCTTTGACGGCGGAAATTACGTGGTCCATTGTCCAGCAATCTGAGCGGCTAATGTGCTTGCGGATGTGCCCAAACCCTCGGTCACATGAGTTTTTCGTGTGTCCTTTCACGAAAAATTTGTAGTCTACGCGCTCGAACGTTCCTCTTTGCACTTGGGCCAGGAAAAACTTGATGACGTGGTTGTTCTTATTTTGCCCAGAACAATTATCTGCATACACCATGAGGTGCTTTTTTCCTGCCGGTACCAGCACTGTCCGGATGAAGTGCTGAAGCATTGAGTTGATCTGGTCACTTCCTTTACCGCTGGTGAACTCGTCGTAGACGTAATTCGTCTGGGTTCCTTCATTTTCGTAGAAAATGCCAAATACGTTGACGGCGAGCAACGAGCAGAAGTACCACTGCGACGGCGTAGAGGTGACGGACGGAATAGTCAGATTCTGAGAGAAATCCATGACGATAACTGCCAGATCGCTATCATGTTCTTGGGACGCAGCTTTATCCTGTTTGTATTCACGTCTGTACATCCACATAAATCAAATTGTTACTAATCTCCTCGTAAAATCTACCAGATAGATCAAAATGATATTTGTGTCCACTGACCGCATTCGACGTGCGGACTCTGTGTGCTGCCCCAGCTCCTCCGTTTTGTCAGCGGTCGCACCTTGGCGCATCCGAGTCTGGTAGATTGAGCAGACGTCACACACGTTCGACTGGGACGAGCGTATCTTGATGTAGGGGCAGTGGAGCGATAGCAATTTCCGAAAAGTTGAGCGTGCCGGTTTGTAAACACGAAGTCCGCTCTCCACGAACTTGTGCATCTCATCGTATAGTGCGTCCCACGTAAACGTTGCAGGCAGTAGTGTGTAGTCTTCTCTGCTATAATACTTTTTCACCATTCCATCCTTCTGTTTTTGCATGCGCACTCTCACAGGCACCACCTCACCTACCTCAGCAGCAAATGCTTGAAACCATTTTACGAGCCATGCCAGATCCACCTTGGTGGCGTTTTTGTTGCTCTTGTTGCCATGAGCTTTAGCCGCAATGTTGCCTTCACGAACGCGCCGCTTGTAGCGCTGCACGGTGAGCGGTTGCACCCCAAGGCAGCTTGCGAAGCTAGGGCGGCACACACGACCTACGAAGGGCAAGTAGTAGTGAAATTTCTCTCGATCGCCAGTACCACGGCGTCGCTCGGCTGTGTCCGTCTGCATCAGCACCCCAAGAAGCGTTAAGATGCACGTAGTTCTCTCGGACTTAGTCATTTGGTTAAGGGAAGCCACGAGCCACTCAACCTCTCCGGCCTTGCCTTCGAGGCAACGTCGCTCGCACTGGTCGTCACGTATGAGATCCACCACAATCTGGTGAACGTCCACATTTTCCAAAATGATACTAATGTCCACCTCCTCTTCCTCCGTCTCACTCTCGCCGGTCAAAACTTCGTCCTCAACAGTTGACCCGTTCACATCGCTCCAGTCCTCATCGTTACTGTCGTCAGGTTCATCACTTTCCCCCTCCTCGCTCTCGTCCACAGATGCAGGCTCTTGAATAGACGCGACCTCGATCTCGTTGGTGTCTTGAGCCAGTTGAATCTCAACCACTGGAGACGCTTCTGTAGCCAACGAGGACGACATTGCTGTGAGCGGCAGCTCGCCGTTCGAAGCAAGATCATTGGAGGGTGGTTGTTCGGGAGTGAGGGACTCCAATGCAGGCGACGGTGGCGGAGGGAGCTGGCGGAGCATGGTTGCTTGGACAGTGGTGTCTTCTTGAGTGAGATGCTTGAATGATTCAGTTTAGTGACAGTTCGGATTTTCAAAACACAAATCATGTTTTTTCTCCAAACTTCGTATAAGTACGAAAAACCATTGCATGACTTTGGAGGCGATTATCTCAATAACTCTGAATGGCGCATTAGTATCATTCGGTTCTGCGTTGTCTCAAATGAAAATCACCCTACGATTTCGACGATGGAGGTGGCTTTAAAGCGCGTCGCGGAGGTGGTGCGCCGCACGCGTGGGTGCGTGGTGTCCAGCGCTGTGGAAGCTCGCTCAATCCCTGGAATGGGCGTGGGGATCGTGGCTCGCGAGCAGATTCCAAAGGATACGCTGGTGTTCCAGGCTGGGCAGGAAGTTTGGTATCCCTTCTCGGCCGAATATGCGCTGGAAACTGCGCAGCAGAAGGCGCCAGGCTTCCTGAATCAATTAAACCAGCTAATGGCATCCAGTAAATCATTGAGAGAGGGATCGTCATTTGTACCCAGTGCGCTAGTGCTTGGCGTGCACATGCTGGCGAACTTCCCGCATGCGGAGGATCCGGATGCACTTCTGATGGCTATGGCAAGCGTGGATAAACCGCCGCTGGATGAGCTGTATGTGAACGCACTTCCACGTTATGTAGACCTGCCGTTATACTGGGATGACAAGCAGTTTAAAGAGCTGCAGGGCTGTGAGGAGACACGTCGAGCAATGCAGCACGGGTAAGTGAGATGGCGAAGCTGATGAGACCAGGATGTTACAGGTAATAACGTTTCTATTGCAGAGCGCGATTTTATTCTCAGGTGTACCAGCACCTTTTTGGCAATAACAATGAGTTCATCAATCCAGAGGCGTTCTTCTGGGCCATCTCTATCTTGATGTCGCGCGCCACGTCCGGCCAGAATCAACCATTCGCTCTTATCCCTTTCTTCGACTGGTTTAACCACGCTGACAACGGGTACGCATAGAATCTGGGAAGCTCATTGCTTTGCATGTGTTAACCGTTGGTGAGTGTGCTTTAGTGATGAATGCGTTCAAGAATTTGACCCTCTAAAGGGCTTTACAGTACATACCACAAAGTCGTACGAGCCGGGCGAGCAACTGTTCATTAACTACGGAAACCATGGTAACCTTCGACTATTGCGGAATTATGGCTTCACCACACCGAACAACCCGTACGACGTCGTTACTCTTCCCATTCCAGCAGCGCTGGAACAGCCCAATCCAGCAGATCCCGCTTTCCCTCAGAAGCGCGAGTTGCTGCAGTCCGCTACTGGCAGTCAAGCAGACATGCCAGCTTTGAGAAGCTTAAGATTTCATCGTGACGGACAACTTGCTCCGAACGCAGAACATTGGCTGGAAATTATGCTCGCGACACCAGACGAATTGAACGAGATCTTCACCAAGGCTGCGTCGCAGTCAAGTGGAGCGGATCCGACCACTTCTCTTCCTCTCCCCCTGTCGTTAAAGCACAGAGTCAACTCTGAAGTCCGTAAGCTGGTGGCAACCCGATTGAAGCAGCATTCTTCGCCATTAGAGGTAAGCGAATATTGAAGTTTTCAAGATTCTGTACCGTCCTAACCACTATCTACGAACAGGAGGACGAAGTGTTCTTACGTGCCAATGACCAGCAAATGGCCCCGTGGCTTCGATCATGCCTGCACATTCGAATGGGTGAAAAGCAAACGCTGAAAAACGCTGCGTCCAAATACGCCTAGCCAAGGAGAAGATATACTTCATTCTCATAGAATAAATTGTGTTAATCCTGCTTCGACTGCTACTGTTGAGTGTTTTATCGCTACTTTATTCGCCCTTATGCAGGTTGGCCATGCACCCGAAAGCGATACAGGCAGGTGTACTCGGGATTACCATGGTTTGACAGCACATCCAGGGTAATACCATCGATAGCCGAACGTTGACTCTGTGAATCGATAAACATGCAAAAAGTCAGTGCTGCAAATGCACATCAAGCTGGTAAGTGTCGAAGAAAAACGTACCAGGGGCGAGGTAAGCTTGAAAGTTTGGCTAGCCGGACCATTGCTAGCATATGAAAAGTTTCCGAAGGGAATAAACTCCACAGTTTCTCGCAGAGGGTGACCCGATATGCCCTGCAACGGCAACAAATTATTAGTATCATCAAGATGCCAGGTCGCAGCAATGATTTCATTCACGAACCAAAACACGGAACTTATTTGGTGCAGAACTGAAGTCGGCCGCAATTTGTGCGGGAATGTGATCGATGGTGATCGCGTCAGCAACAATTTGTTGTGCGAACTTCAGCGAGAGGCGGCCAGATGAGCCGGCAATGCCCCAGCAACTTCCTATTTCCATCGTTTCCTGTGGAAGCATATCACTCATCAGTCACTATAATGACTACCAAATGCGATTTGAGAGTACATACCGATAGTGCGGTTTCTGGTCGACCATTGTGGCGCGAAAGCCACCACGGATTTTCTCCAGAAGACAGCAACTGCCCCAGGAATGGAGCAGGTGCGCGACGGTAAGAGGGCGAGGTAAATCTACCGTCATCGTCGGGGTCGCTTAATCCTGCAAGTTGGGTTAGCAACTGTACTGGAGATGAACTGTCCTGGTAAAGGAGATCGCTACAATGAGGAAACACGAGTAGTTAGAACATGTAAAACGCTATTCCTCACATGCTGATATGCAGTTGTAAATGGCGCACCGTTCTGAATGAATGACTGAGGCCCCGTTGGCAAGAGCTGCATGATCCACTCGTCCTGTCTTCTTGATCTCAACAGCCTGAACCGCAACTTCAATAACCCGGAGGATCCCTGGATCAGTGGCATCCAAGCCACGTAGAGCATCAGCGCTTGATGAGAGAGCGTCCTTCTCATCTTGTAGCACTCTTGACATGCGATTCTCAATGTCTTGCACTTTACGCTGCATCTCAAACTGCAACTCGCGCTCAAATGATTCACGCCACTGAGTAAATTCTTTCCTCATCTCTCTCGCGTTCTCGCTTGCTGTATCCGGTATTGGCGTCGATGCTGTCTTCTCCACGATGGTTTGAACAGACTACATTACAAAAGAAATAGTTAATGATTACGATAAAGAAGGACAAAGAAGCTGCTATACTTACGTCCATCTTCTCCTCCTGCTCCTTCAGTACCGAAGAAAGCACCGACTGTTGCTTCGTTGCAGTCTGCAGGTCTTGTTGTAGTCGCGAAGTGCTGTCCATGAATTTCTCCCACTGTACAACACGTTAGATCTCTTAAGTATTAAGGATATCAACATAGCAACTGCAGACCCACCAATTCGCCAGTGTGCTTGGTAACAACTTTTTCAATGTGGACGTTGATGGCGCTACCGGGTTCTGCAAGACTGAATTTCTGGTGCTCTTCATCGTGATCATGACGTAGCGTGTCGTGCAGCAATTTAAGCGCTTCAATCTCACGCTCCTGAATCTGCACAGTTTGACGCAGTAGACCGATCTCCTCGTTCAGTCCAACCAACTTCATGTCCACGATCTCCTGCACGACAGAGCGCATCGCTCCCTTCTCTACTCCAGCATCGGCACCTCCGCGAAACCCAATCACTTTGGAAGACAATACGTCCACGTACTGGGTCACCGTCGTCAAATAGTGTGGGACAGTAATTGCAATCACGAAGCAGCACAATGGCGCTAATAGCCACAACACGTTCACGGCCATGAACGAATTACGAAGCACGAAGCGCCAGAATCTCCGTAGATACTTCGAGATTGTCTTCACTACCTTGGATTCTGTGACTTTCTGCCACAGTCCGCTTGCATCATTGGGTCTCTTAAAGTAGGCAGCAGCACCTGCTGCTCGTCTTTTGAGCTCAGAGCGTTGAACTTCGTGCTCGGGCGTCTCCTGATCTTCAACGTCCACTTCCTCGTCTTCGTGGACATCATCAGGCTCATGTACGTCCTCTTCGTCCACCTGAGGAGGACAGTACGTCGTGCTGCGGTACACTGTCTCGCCGTAGTCATCTAGCTCCTCAAAGTCGCTGTCGTCTTCGTCGTCGTCATCTTCGAGCGCGTCTGAGCGCAATTCCAGCGTACGCTGCACAGGCTCAGGCGTGTAGACTCCGTAGCGCCGACCTCCGCTCCTCGTGACGTGCTGAAGCTCTACCTCATCCTCTGAAGACGTCGAATCCGAGCGTCTACGGCTGCGCAGCCGCCGACTGTATGTGTTGCCATCCGCCATAGCTTCCGTTATCACAGTTCTTTTTTTTTTTTGCGAAACCATAAAAATGGGTTTTATTTAATAGAAGTAATGTATTATTTCCCAAAATTAGGATGCATTTTTCTTCCCGCCCAAAATTTGATTCATACCCTTTTTTCGTTGTGTGGCAAAGCTGATGGACTCTGCTGGCAAGGAGCGAAGACGCGGTAGCGCGTCTCCCGGCGGTAACTCGGACTTTTCCACGTCTACAAAAGATACAAATGGAAGCTTAGACGCAATAACACCTGACGCCGAAGTGAGCGTGCAGATGAGTGAGGAGATGGCGCTGCAGCAACAGCAGACTTCATCCTATCCGAGTCTGTTGGGCAAGCGGGAGGCTGACACAGAGCTGCATGAAGAGGAACATGACGATGAAGAAGCTGAGGAAGACCCGTCTCGTCTACTTCCTGTGGCTGAAGAGGAGCAGGCGTTGGTACAGTGTGTGGGCATAGAGCAGTGCTTCGATTCATGGGACGATTTCCATCGCGCCATGGAAGAGTACTGCGCAACTACGCACCAACCAATGCGACTGAGGACATCCGACTCAGCTAAAGCTGTGAACTCTCGTGCTGCTAAGAGGAACAGCTTGAAGGAACCCATTGACGAAAGCGTCGGATTTGTTAAGAAGCTCTACCTGTGCACGCACGGAGTGAAGACTAAACCCCGTGGAAAGGGAAAAAGACCGAGACAGCACTATCGTTATATGGGATGCCCCGCCATGATTCGTGCTTGTATTTCTGAACGCAAGCCCGGTGATCTTGAAGGACAGGGCAAAGGCAAGTATGTCGTCCGTGTTGTGGCTCAGATCAACCGACACAACCATCGTCTGAGCGAGCACTTGTTCAAGTCATACTCGGAGAGCCGTGTTGTGATTGATGACGAACTGATCGTACCAACCTCGCAAAGCCGATTGAAAGAGGAGCATGCTGTCACAGCGTCTGCCACTGCCTCGGTTGCTTCTGTTGAACAGCAGATCACTGGCACCGTACACCCGGATTTGGAAGACCCCACGTTGAAGACTAACCGTACGTTGCTGTTTAACTCACTTGATGTGGTAGTATCCCTGATGGTGATGATGTCGTTGTAGCTCTGTTTCAGACTCAAGGACTCGACCTTATGTCTGCTGCGTCTCGCGTCAAGATTCGGTACGTCGTTACGAAATCCATGCACTCTGGAATGTTGCGCTCACCAACTTCTTGTAACGTGTGCAGTGTTGGCTGGATCGGAACGGGCATCATGGGTGCCAGTATGTGTGGACATTTGATGGTAAGTTTTGATAAACTCATTGTAGGTTTACCACGGTGTTTTGACGTTGTATCTGTACTCGTTGTAATCCCTATAGAACCACGGCTATGAAGTCACTGTGTACAATCGAACACTGTCGAAATGTGACGGGCTACGGGGAAAAGGAGCGAGAGTGGCTGGTTCTCCTGCTGAAGTCGCCCAAAACTCCGGTAGGTAGAGCTACTGTTGTGATCTGGATTCTTGGTTCTAACTTCTAACTTCTTGTTCAGATATTGTTTTCATCATGGTGGGGTATCCGAGCGACGTAAAGTCAGTGGTGCTTGACGCAGACTCGGGTTTGCTTTCGCGGATGAAGGCAGGGGGCATCATCGTTGACATGACGACTAGTTCTCCTGCACTGGCGAAAAAGATTTATGAAGCGGCGAAACTGAAGGGCGTTTCCACACTTGATGCTCCTGTTTCCGGAGGGGATATTGGCGCCCGTGATGCCACGCTCTCCATCATGGTTGGTGGCGACATGGAATCAGTCTACGTCACGATGCCTTTTCTCAGTATTATGGGCAAGTCCGTTCGCCACATGGGACCTGCCGGTGCAGGCCAGCACACGAAGATGATGAACCAAATTTTGATCGCCACGAACATGATCGGAGTGGTCGAAGGTCTTCTGTACGCCAAGAAAAGTGGTTTGGACATGGATGAAGCCATTCGTGCAGTGAGTGCCGGTGCGGCTGGATCGTGGTCGATCAGTAACATGGGCCCGCGGATTGCCAAGCGAGACTTCGACCCTGGTTTCTTCGTTGAGCATTTCCTCAAGGACATGGGTATCGCTTTGAAAGAAGCGGAGAGGTACGCGGTGTTTATCACTTCGTTTGCTCGTCCTGAATAGAGACTAATTGCTTGTCTTACTGCAGGATGAACCTATCACTACCGGGGCTTTCGCTAGCGCACCAGTTGTACATTGCTGTAAAGGTACGTTAAGCTGGATGGAAGCTCCACTTGATTGTGCAACAAACTAAGGACCATTGGCTGTGTAGGCGCAAGGGCACGGCCGATTGGGAACTCAAGCATTGATGCTTGCTTTGGAGCAACTGAATGGTGCGAAGGTGGTAAATTTCTCAATAGTATGGAGCACGGGCTAACAGAAGCTGCACTATTGCTGCAGGTATTTATCCGGAAAAAGCCAACAACGTGGAAGTGGTGTAACATTCTCGAATCAACCGGTCAATCTGCTATGAGTCCAAGCACAGAGACCGCCGTAAGGCTCCATTTTACCAGAAATGTTTTTGCAACAAAGGTTGTTTCAATTGCAATGACACTAAGCAGCTTTATGGATCATTTGCGCCTGGACAATCCGTTCCCATTTTCATCATTCGCTTAGCCAACCGAAAGTACGGCATTGAACCACGTCCTCATTCTTGCATCAGCAAGCAGGGCCGCATGCTTGAAGCGGTTCAGCATTGGGCTTTGCCGCACTTGAGCCCTAACTTCAATGCTTTTTCAACCAATAAAAGAGAAGGAATTGATAGGCAGGATGGCATGCTACGCTTCCCATTTTTGAAGATCGGGACGAAGCCCTGAGACCAGGATGGTTGTTGCTGTGAAGCCGAGGTACGGCATTGCTTAGTACAGCAGGTGCTGCGTAGTTTTGGCCAGCTTATCGTGGTGGTTTTGTGCAGAGTTGGATGGATTGGCACGGGCGTCATGGGCGCCAGCATGGTCGGCCACATCCTGGTACGTTGTGCATCAGTAGAGAGGGAAGAACCACCTGGCTAAATACTTTGACTGCACTGTGGAGAACAGAAGCACGGGTACGAGGTGACGGTGTTCAACCGCACGCTTTCTAAGTGCGATGACCTCAAAGAGCAGGGCGCGACTGTGGCCAGCTCCCCCGCTGAGGTGGCTAAAGTTTCCGGTTAGTCTTCACTGTTTGCAACACTTCTAGGTGCTTTGATTCTAAAGAATATGCCTGTTGATTGCGTCTAGACATCGTGTTCGGTATCGTGGGCTACCCTAGCGATGTGCGTAAGGTGTTCCTCGACCCTGAGTGGGGTGTGCTGTCCTCCATCAAGTCGGGCGGTGTGATCGTCGATATGACCACTAGTGAGCCGTCCCTCGCGAAGGAGATCTACGAGGCAGCCAAGCAGAAAGGTGTATCGAGTTTGGATGCCCCCGTCTCAGGCGGTGACGTCGGTGCTCGTGAGGGTACGCTCTCCATCATGGTTGGCGGTGATGCCAAGACGGTGGAAACGACGATGCCGCTGTTTGAAATCATGGGCAAGAACATCCGTCACATGGGCGGTGCCGGTGCTGGACAACACACCAAAATGGTGAACCAGATCCTCATCGCAACGAACATGATTGGCGTCGTCGAGGGTCTTCTGTACGCTCAGAAGAGCGGACTGGACGTGGAGGAGGCTATCCGCGCTGTGAGCGCCGGTGCTGCCGGCTCCTGGTCGATCAGCAACCTTGGACCTCGAATCGCTAAGCGCAACTTCGACCCTGGCTTCTTCGTGGAGCACTTCGTTAAAGACATGGGTATCGCACTGAAAGAAGCCGAACGGTAAGAGGCTGCACATTGTCTTGGCCACTTGATACGTATTTATTGAGTTCATGTTGTGTATGAATAGTATGAACCTGTCGCTTCCTGGCCTTGCCCTCGCCAACCAGCTGTACGTAGCGGTCAAGGCTCAAGGCCACGGCCGCCTGGGAACGCACTCCCTGATGCTCGCGCTGGAGCAGCTGAACGGCATTGACTCCAAGTAAGAAACTCGAGATGTTGAAGTGCCTATAGCAAAGATTTAGTTAATTTACCTCAGTATTAGCTAAATTCACGCGTAATTTTTCGAAGAAAAAAAGTCGCACTAAATCAAATAGGATCCCCATACATTATCGCTGTGTAACCAGACGCCATGGACTTGCCTGATGAAGAGCTCAAGCAGCCGCTTGTGGACCCGCAGGAGGAGGCTACACCACCGCGACCTGGTAGTGCAGGCTCCAATCGCGTGATGCGTAACTCGCCGGTAGATGCTGGAGCCGAAGAGGAGAAGGAGGAGGCACCGCGGAGACAGCCTACTCGTCCACAACAGCAGCAGCAGCAACAACAACAACAACAGAAGCTTCCCTACGCAGCGCCGAATGTCCATCCGTACGCTGTGCCGCAGTATCAGCCACAAGGTTACGGTGGTAGTGCTCGCAACGGATGGGGTGGAGGCCAGGACGAGGATACCGGAGACCAGGGGATAACGGTGGATATCGTCTTCAGTGGCATGTACACACTCGCCGCAGCGTTCACGATTATCCAGGGCTTTGGCATGCTCATTCACTTCACATACGCAGCCGGTAAGGCGTCGGCTGGGGAATTTTTCTTGGTATTTTATGTCTAGAAGGCTTCTAACGTTTGTTATGTTTTTGTAAATGTGCTGCTACAGTCTCTTTAGGCTTCTACACCATGGCGTTCGGTAGGTGACCAATGCTACGATGCAACAAAGCTGTACTAGATGGAAAGAGTAATGTGTTGTCGTTCTGTGGTCTGTAGGCGCGGCGGTTATTATGTACGACCTCAAGTCTGTGGTCAATGGTGTGAGCGTGGAGATGTACCTGCCCTTCTTGGGCAACTACATCGGTCGCGCGGCTACCATCCTGTTCTTTGCTGTATTGTGTGCGCAGACGTACGAGTATGCAGGCTGGACCAAGTTTATCGTGCTGTACAACTTGCTGGTCGCCACGCTGCAAGGCTTCGTGTACTTCACGACGAAGACAGTGACGCAAAACCAGCCTCAAATGGACGATCTTCCAGACTTGTAAAGCTGCTGCGTCGTGGGTGTAGCTAAGTGAATACATCCACGCGTTGCATTTTTTAGCTAGGTGTTTTGCGGTATCGATGGTGCAGTGCGGCAGACTTGTTGGATGGTTTGCCGACACCACTACATTTACAGGTATTCTACTATGTGCCATAGACGCTCAAGTCTTAGACTTAGCAGACGTTAGGTCGTGGAATAGATCGCGAACATTCACGCGAGCATGCATTCGTGCTGCACGAATCGTGCATTCACGTCGTCGGCACTTGTCGTGCCAGCTGTCCCAGCCAGAGTGATGGTCGTTAGGATCAGAAATCTTTCTCTGAAATCCGCAGCAGGCCTTTTGTATGGGGTCGAAGTCTGGAAGGTGTAGCGAAGGTTCGCGATGAAAAATCTATTTTTGATCTGCGGGAAACGACGCGAGCACACGTCGCAGACGGGAGTTTCTCGTTGGGTTGACTTGACCGTCGCCCCCTTCCAGTTCCCTCATTATCCAATTTGCTTCCTGGGCTACAAACTTCTGCGA